TTGTAGCTGGGCTTGTGTTAATGGGCCTAATCCTGTTTAATGATTTAAGTCATTTGGGTGTCCCATCACTAATCAGGGGCATCCCAGTAATTTCTTGTGCCTTGTACTATATTCATCTATAAATAAAGGACTGGTCGACTGGCTAGTRCAGTTCGACATTCTCTTCAGTTCTGTGGTTCTCTTCTCATCCTTGCTACTTCGAGTATAGCTCTTCAGATTACAATGCTATGCAGCTATAGCTCACAAAGAGTTCAAGGAGACAATGATATCTGATTTTGATTCCAAGTAGATAGAGTTAGCAAGGCACTAATAGCAGATCATGAATTCTTTACACTGATTTCATGATGTACTTATGTTTAAATGGTTGGTGTAAGGAGGCCATCTCAGCCTCCTATCTTTAACACACTTTCCGTTTTCAATATTAATAAAACACAGTTATCTTACCTATAAAAGAAAAAAGAAGAATATCATTTAAGCAATGGACTAAAATATGAATGCTTGGAAGCAGTTTTATTTGTATAGTTACCAAAAATAAAGAATGGTTGGTGAGATAAATTTTATGTTTCATGTACAATGAGAATGCCACAGTTTCTAAAAGATGGGCAGAGAGAAATTTAATACCTCATATAGGTGGGCCAACCGAAGGAGAACATTTCCATCTTCAAGCTCCTGCAGAGTTTGGACAGGAAAAAAACAACTAGGTTAATGGGGAAAAGAGATACAATGGAGAATCATTAAATTTCTTAGAGCTTTATCTAAGTTTTCTTTCTCCAGACAATATCAAGGTTGGAGACATTGAAACATCTTGGGCTGACAAGAATGAAAATATGGATCCAAGTACAAGAGTGGCCACTTTGTGCAAGAATAGCCAGGTTAACATTGGGTGGTGACCCTTTATGTTTCACTATATAACATAGTGCCTGATGGGTGGTGCAGGACTCACATTAACATTTCTTTCTTTACATACTAAAATATTAGATTTTTTTTTCTTGCAATTCAAGACAAGGGAAGGAGACAAAGGCATACTTGAAGAGTAATTATTGCAACATTATCAGGTAAACTGTAGGAAGGATCCATTGCAGAAAAAGTTGATACATGAGAACTTGTCCAGTTACCTGCATCCTGCAAAAAGGAACTGGTTGCTAAGCACCACCATCACCACCAACACCCAAGCAGTGAAAATAAATCAACATCAAGGTATCAAGGTATCTTTTACCTGTTCTGTAAAGGCTAGAAGGAATGGAGAGTATATCTCTTGGCCAACTGAACGCCGCCACTTAGAACCTTCTCCTAGAGGGTCAATTCTGAGATAAAATCTTCCTTGAATCTGAAGAAACGTTCACAAATATAAGAGGTAGATGCTGCAAGAAATTTTGATCTAGGACAAATCAAGGAATACAGAATTCTCCACAGATTTTAAAGAACCAGGTTTAGGAATTATTGGAATGATAATATAATAAGTTAACTAAGAATATATGGATCATTAAGCCAATTAAGAACTAAAACAGAAATGGTTAAAGAAATCACAAATGCAGCTGATGACACAAAGATATTTGTCACAGAGAGTACTTGTTAAATAAGACATCCAAAATTTTCATTGTATGACAGCCACCCCTACTCCCAGAACACTTTGGAGTTGATTTTTGATTGGCATGCAATAAATAATGAGATCTCATCATCATCATCCATGCCTTATCCCAACTATATGGGGTCAGCTATATGAATCCTGTTTCACCAATCCATTCTATTTAAAGCCATATCCACTCTTAAATTATTAGTGCTTAAATCATTTCTTACTACTACCCATGTCCTTCTTGGTCTACCCCTGGTTCTTCTATCCCCTTTCACTTGTAACAAATCACTTCTTCTAACCAAAGCCATTGGGGTAGTTGAGGGACGAGGAACATCAGTGCTTTTTCAATCAATGTTTGTAGTCCACTCTCTCTCTCTGCCAAAGGTATCCAGGCAGAATAGATTGTGCTAATATGGCTTTGAATTATGATGCCAACAATTGATTCCAAGACAAAGTGAGGGAAAAGGGAACCCTCTGATTGTTCTCATAGTACAACTTATAAGATGCTTAGTGCATTTTTAATTGTCCAATCATGAAGAAGATTAATTTCTTGATGACCCTAAAGTTTCATGAGGATTGAATGCTAGGAAGAAATGTCTCGTTAAGGTTACCATAGCCCATAGGTAGTTCATTAGCCATGTGATTTTTGGATAATGAGGATGTTTCTTCTTTCTTTTGAGTCACAAATTGCTTACTTTATTTTCTGGTGTCAAATTTTCTCAAATGACTTCACTTTATTTTCTCCCAAAATATTATTCCATTACTAGTCTACATATCAAATATCTCACAGTACCAGGTATGATTTGGGGAATCACAACGGATGTACTTGGTGCCAACTGAAGCTCAAAAGTATCAATACATAGAGGGTGATACTCTATTTTTTTCAGGCTGATATTTCACAAATAATAATGTTAAGAGGGGTTGTTATGTTTAAACATAAAAGATACCTCCTAAATCTATGTAAACAGCATTTCAGATGGTTCAAAAACCGATATGTATCATATGATATGCACCGATACTTTGCGGTATTTCAGATCTTGATGCCAGAAAGTGTTGAGAAATCAATTTTTAGCAGTTTAAACTTTTGTGGTGAAAAGAAATAAAATTTGGTCATTAGATAGCTTTCCATGTTTTTTAGGATATCCRAGCCTTGGCTCTCTGTGAATACACTGTCAACATACATGCTGGATTAGTAAGTCATTTGGTAGACAAATTGGCAAGGAATCTAGTCTACAAAGATCTTGTATCCAGTGATGTGGCATTCTCCATCATACTTGTTTTCTTTTTTATGATCTTTCTTTCAATGGTAAAAGTCATAGTACCATTACTTGTTTAGAATAGGAAACTGTTATTACTTTTAGTAGTTTTGGGTTTCTTTCTTTCTTTTTTTTTTTTT